TTAGCCAATCACAACACACTGGGCTAGCTAACCAATCAGAGCCCATCGTATTTCTGAGGGAGGGGCTTCATAAAAGCAGGAAATTGATCAGCGCGTTTCTCAAAGAAGGGACAGAGCGGTGTGGAATAAAGGTAAATGATGTGAAAAATAATGCGTTTTTTAAAAAACGAAGCATTAACACATGTTAGACTGCACCCCATTAACACAATCAAGCCTAGAAAAAAAACACTGAACCACCCCTTTAAGTCTTTTTGCTTACAAAAAAGGTTTGCAAGACCTCAGAAGACTTGTAATATAGTGAAAGAGTCACATGAAGTACTTTTATGTTGTTTTTATAGTGCTTCTTTGTCCTTTCTGGAGTTTGACAACTGCTGGTTTGGATATTTCACTAAACGTTTGCTCACTAATCTCATTAAAATGTTACGAAATGTTGCTTTGTTAAACAATCTTGTAGTAACTGTACAATGACAATAAAGAGCTTGACTTAAGGTTTGGACCTGGTAAGTCATTTAACCATGCCATTGTGAAATTCCATTTCAATCCACTGCCCAGAAAAACACTTGAGAGACAGATGTGTATTCTTCAGCCTCCGGTCCCAAAGAACAAACACACACTAATAAAACACCTGGGGCAAGTTCAAGCTCAAACCGGTGTGCACCGTTTTGCTACGGCTTCTGGTTTGAACGACATGTTTCCTGGAAACAGTGTGCAACGGTGTGCAACGGGGTTTGAGATGCGTTTTCTCTTGTTTGGTGGGTGTGTCAAACATGTCAGCCCAATCAGCAGCAACATGTATGTAAACCACACGGTATTAAAGAGACAGCTCGCACAATGTAATTAACATCAAAATAAATTCACAAGAGCAAGTATATTGTTTGCACATGTTTATTTACATTAAAGGCAAAATAACTGAAATAATAAGGGCACAAGTATAGATCTGGAACTTCTTCAAGTCTGTCTAAATATCATTTAGTAACTGCAATGTCTTCTGGTCCATATCCTTTCCTTAAGAAGGTGTGCTAAATACTGATTAATGTAACATAAAAATACTATACATATTTATATATTTTGCTATTGTATTATGGAGTGACACTTTAATAAACTTTTCTATACCCCTCTGATTATATAATGGTAAATATTACAATATCATAGCACAACAAAAGTGATCAGCAATAAAAGTAAGCCTAATACTCACAATTAAAATAATAAGGTCATATAGATCATAACACAGTCTCGGAGGTAAGAAGTGGATTATCCTTCACCTGAAATGTTTGTCTTTTCATCCTGAAATGCGAGGCAAATGTTGGATCACAATAATTAGGAACCACAGTTTCCACAAATCCCTTCACTCGATTGGGATGTTCTCTTTTATTCTGGACGGCAAGGGCAGTGACTGTACCATCGAGCGTATTTTGCAGTATTAAACACATATTTATACCGATTTCATCAGGCTCCGAAAATTCTTCAAAAAGAACACAAAGATTGGCCTTCTCAGCTGCCATAGTTGCAACTCTTGCGTCATCAGAACAGGGTGTTCAACGCATCACCGTTTCCGTTTAAAAAACGTTTTGCACCGTTTTTGTCGGGGCTGAACGCAGCCCTGTTGCCCTGGCACCAGTCTCCATGAACTCACGCTTTTAACGCATTTCATAGTAACAATTAGGCTACAGTCATGGATTTACAGGTGACTGTGAAGATTAATTTTAGTTCGTAAAATATTTTCAAAACCTTTTTTCACAAAAAAAACGTTGTAATAAAATAACATGCTACAAGCTCAGGGCTCTACAGTGCGACCATTTCAGTCGCATTTGCGACTCAAAACTACTGCGTGCGACTATGAAAAAATATTTAGGAGCACCAGTGCGACTGACCAGATCTTCATATTTGTGATTGTGATCGCTGAGGGGAGCTTCAAAGGTTTCTACGTGTTTTTGCAGCGTTGAGTAATGTATCACAGACATATCTCATGAATCCTTTCATAAGCAAAGTGTAGTGATTAGAAGGTGCTCCTAAATTTTTGACTGTGCTCCTACATTTTTTTAAAGAAAAATAAGCGTAGAGCCCTGAAGCTGTATGATCAGTCATTCGGTCACTTACGCAAATGTATTACTCTAACATTTTACGCTGATGTAGTGAATGAAGGAAACTCACTTACAATTATCAGAAACAATGTGTAAAATGTTTGGCCATTTCTACTTGAGTTATCAAACAAAATAAACGACAGTTTAAATCAATCATGAACAAAAAATTTAGCAGTTTTCCCTAAGACAGGTTTGTGTTATGAGGCCATGTTTAAGACCTATACATAAAAAACAGGAAGTAACTAAATCTGCAGTACATTTTGCTCAGCACAATTTGCTCAGGAAACTCAGCACATGGGCAAACATGGACAGGAATGAAGGAAACGAAATAGCTGGTTTCACTCTGATAACATAAGATCAAAATCAGCATTATTCGCAGAACTGTTCAGGAACTCGCTTATTGTTCGCTTACAATCAGCCGAAGCTAAGAACGACAGATAGAACAATAGACAGAACAACAGAACGATAGAAAGGGTAGAATGATAGATAGAATGATTGAATGAGATCTTACGCAGATGATGTGTGCTGACTTGCATCTTGGGTGACAGTGCAGTAGTCTCATTCAAAAATATGCTGATGGTCAATGAGACAGTTGCGTCATTGCCATGAAGAGAAATGGAGCACATGGCAGTTTCTTCCCCGGCACACTGAGCAGCATGGTTTGTTTCATCTGAAAGTGCATTCATCTGTACACTAAAAAGAAAATTATATATAAAATAATTAATACAACTGAAAATCCATAACATTAGATTAAGCCTCTAAGGAACTCATGCAAACAAAAATATTTATCATATTAGTGCCTTAAGTTTGGGATCGACACAGGCTAATCTTTATCACAGGGGAAATAATCACAAAGTTAGCATCTGTATATACAGTGAAGAAAAAAGTAAATAATATTAATTAAATAATTACGATAATTTAAAAGTTGACCATTAATAATAGAGTCATAGAGTCTGGATGTATTACATCGTCTGCATAATCCCCCCCACATACACTCTTAATTTGTCCTGAATCCAATTTAAGCACGAATGGGAGCAGCGGCCAATCAGCAGTCTGTGGAAAGCAGAATAAAAACAGAGGACTCACACTAATTGAGGTCTAACGGTGAGCAGACTTGCAGCGGCTGCTGCTGTGTGGCTCTTTGCATTACAAATCAAATTTGTCCGTTCACCTTCAAGCCAGCACAGGATGTCCAAACAGTTTCCTGAAAAGAGATTGCATTCCCATGTTAGCTTCTTTCATCACAGTCTATCGCAGTTAGAAGCCTCTAGAAATAACATGCAAATTTTTCCTGTCAGGACACAGCCTCATTACATAGTGTGCAAATAACATGAAAGATACATACACGATGCTTTGAATCAACATAAAACATCAATTATTCATAGTCTAGTTGAAATTCTGTCAGGATAGTTTTTAAGTTTTAAACTTGCACTATCACAGGAGTCAATGTAGATGGGGAAATGTTTTTTTTTTCCTTTAAGTTTAATGAATGCTTTATGATGTTAGGGAAAAATAAGCATCCACCTCTGAGTATTTGTATTGATTCCTTTTCTGTTTTTGCAGAGCCACTTCACTTTAATAGGATTGCAAACCTTAACTTATTTTCCACTTAAATGCTATAAATGTATCTATAGAATTTAATTATTGGCCTACCGCAGAGAAGAGAATGTAATGAGAATTGATTAGCATGTGTAATGGCACCCATCTACTTGTCTGGAGAGGTCAATTCTCTCAGTCTCTCTGTAGCTAAGACCTCTGATGCAAATATAAATTAAACTGCTTTTTGAGACCTTAAAATGGCAAGGATAACTCATAAATTGCCTTTCATTTATTTTGGACACTACCGTTCAAAAGTTTGGATTTTTCAGAAACCATCACTCCAGTCTTCAGTGTCACATGATCCTTCAGAAATCATTCTAATATGCTGATTTGGTGCTCAAAAAACATTTCAATTTTTATCAATATTGAACAGCTGTGCTGCTTAATTTTTTATTTTTTTTTGGGAAACCGTAATACTACTTCTTTTTTTTTTTTTACTACTTTTTCTTTTTACATTTCATTCAATGTATTGATAATTTCTTCGGTTTAAAAGTCATAATGTAAACAAACATATCGCATTTACTGTCAAAATGCAGATGAAGACGTTTACATGTGAAGAAAATCAATTGCATTTTATAGCCCTTCACTGATAAAAGGACATTTACTATTATCAGCTTAATTATGAAAATCAACAATAATGTGACTAACAACAACGTTTTTAACCAATATTACTGTCAACATTTTATAAACATGAAAAAAAACAGTACTTTAAATAATCTTTCTTCAATCCAAAAATGTCCTTCTGAAAGCAATGATTGTAATATCACACAGATTGATTTTACCAGAAAGGGTGGGTTATTTACTTGAGAATTCTGGTATTGTAGAATTTAGTAGGCGACACTGCCCTACAGGTGGGTGTTCAGAAAGACCACCGTCAAGTGTCTGAGCAAAGGGCAGCTCACAACATAGCAGAGCCTTCCACTTCAGGTCTTCATAAACACCTCCCCTGCCATCAGAAAGACTCAAAGCAGCAAGACCTGGAACACGAGGATCTCAATGTGAGTGACACTCATTTGCAATACTATTCAAACTGAACCAACAGTGGGAAAAAAATTAATCTCAGAGGACACACAGACCTTATGTATAAAAGAAAAATCTATTGACAAAATCAATTCTCAGAAGTGCTCAGAATTGAACATTCATCTGAAAGCTACTCAAGGGCGACACAACTGTGTAGGACTGCAACATAAGCAAGCCATCATATATTTCCAAAAAAAGATTTAATACTTTTGAGTTAAAAAGTGTGTACTTAAAGTCTTAACATTTCAATATCTTTTGAAATAATGAGTACAATTAATTTATTAAATGTAGTGTTTTAACTTTCTGCACCACTAGTGTTACTACATGGAATTGCACAAATAATGACTATTTTCAAACAAGTTTCCCAAACATCTATCTTTCATTGGTCAGTTCGACAGATGACCCCACCCCCAAATAAATGCCAATGGTTGCATTACTGTTTTATTGTGTCAGGCTGATCAGGATGATCAAACAGAGCAATAGTGACACAGTATTTACATTTTATGTCAAATGGCATCCTCACAGCTGTCCCTGCATATTAAGCTAGGATAAATATTTTGACATCAAAATACATATACATACATTTCTGGCTGACTCTGATAAGATGATACATTTTTATTTTATTTATTTATTTATTTGTGTGTGTGTGTGTGTGTGTGTGTGTGTGTGCGCATGTATATTATATGTGAGATATTACTATTTTCCTAAATAAATTAACTAAAAATTTAAAATAAAATAAATCAATAATTTCAAATGCTCAAAGTGAATTTAGGCATCACAACAATATAACTTATGCTTCAATATGGAAAAATGGATATTCATTTTGAGATTTTCCAAAGATTAGAGCAATGTTATCAAATTATTATTGTTTTTACAGAGTAACTTTAAGTTATTGTGTTAAAACGTTAGATGATGGAAAACGTTACCTAAATGTAAATAGATGAAATGCATATTTAATTATGTTAATTATACATAATTAAATTATACACAGTTAATTATGTTATATAAACACTGATCAATACTGATAATTTTTTTTTAACTCCCCAATGCCATCCAATAATCAATATGGCGCTGATATATCGTCCATCCCTATCCATTTAAATAATTTCATTAATATCCATGTTAATTTAATATCATCGAAAGCGAACAACACATATCACCTTCAGTTACCAACTGCACTACTGTTACCCTAAAGGCCTATGGCCCTTTCTCATCTGTACATCTGTCTATATGTGAGGCCCCTAGGTGACCATTAAAAGTTTATAGTCTGATTCATGATGTGGGTGTAATCACCTCCCTCCTATACCCCTTACTTTCAATCTACCTCTCTCTCTCTCACTACCTCTCTGTCTTCTTCTATCTCTCTGTCCATTCATCAGCCTCCTGCACTCTGTGCGTTCAACCATAACCCACACTAATGCATCTCTGAGGTGGGCAGAGGGACTGCTGACAGCTGGTGGGTGACCAGCACGCTACAGTATGTAAGTCTTTGCCTCGACAGCAAATAGGAAATGTAAAACAATGAAAAGATGCTAGATACAGAATTTGAATGAAAACAGGAAGTGTAATTTTAGCTTAGTGCAACAACGACTCACCTTGTGAAATGGTAATGAAATTCACAAGAAGCGCAAGCATGATAAACAGAGTCCTGCGGGAAAGAGAGGACATCTGTAAAATAATTCAGTATGGATATGACGCACTATCATCTTCCACACAGGAATGGTCTAATCTTTAAGCTCAAACAGTATGACAGCATTTAGTTTACTCATTATATAATATGACAGAGCCCCATTCCAACTGTTTGATTACCCACATTCTTTAAAACATCTTCTTTTATGTTACAGGTTTGAACAACTTGAGGGTGAGTAAATTATGACAATTTTCATTTTTGGGTAAACTCTCCCTTTAATTGTAGTTCACGAGTTCGCCTGCCCATCCAGTCCTGATGGTTAATGGTAAACGAACTCGGCTTGCTGTCCTTGATAGAAGCTCGAACCCGAGGCTCGGCTTGAGCTCCAAGTTCAACCCCTCCATTGCAGTAATAAATAGAGAAGGAGATGGAGTGCTGGAAGAACTGTCACTGGGACGGCGCAATGACTGCTGTTTATATAGACTCATAGTGATGATTGACAGGACTGAATGATTAGGCTCCTCCCGAATCTACATTTAGAGCTTCATTTGAGGACAAAGCTAAATTAACACACACAATTAAACATCCAATATCACATGATAAATATCCAATATCACCTGATACTGATAAATGCAAAAATCTGTAATATCACCAAATAAACAATAATGTACCGATATATTGTGCATCCCATAGCCTATTTTCTATTTTCAGTAGAACATTTTAAGTCAGATTGCTTAAAACCAAGCAGCATGCCTCTACCCATCAAGCTACATAGTTTGGAAAATATTTAGAAAAGGTAATTAGAAGAATGTGTCATCAAACTCCATCTCATGAAGAACATTTGCCTTCCATAACATTTCAAGAAATGGGCAATATTGTGCAATACTGTGCAATATTACTTGGCTAGTTTTATATATTCCACAACAAAATTACTCACAGAAATACAAATTCCCTCTCATTAACAGTTCATTAACCACTTTGAAATGGGTAATCAATGATATAAAGCAAGTCAAATGAAGCATTCTAAAATCCAAGCCCTAATCAAATCTAATTAGAGATACTTACATTATTTCATATGATTGTGAGCATAATTTCTCTTCTTGATGGAGTGATGGAATCTGCAATGAGATAGACAATAAGAGAGGAATGGCCTCTGTGTGGGAAGATGAAATTTGATTTGAACTAAAACACTGAAGAATAAGAAGAACGCAGGAATAGTTTTACTCTTAAGGGATGGAGAAGTCATTCCTGAGTCACTTAATGGAAAATAAAGCAGGCAAAAGATTTTGGCACACATTAAACATATGAAGCAGTAATATGACACCGGCTTCAGAGTGAATTACTCTGCTCTGACTATATTTGCTTTTAATGATGAGATAAGTCACCTTTCTTGTACAAGACAATAACGAGCATGACTGCTTCCCACATTTCCGTATCCTCTGTTCCTGGATGTACTGAAATGCTAAGTTAAATTAACAAAGTGCAAGACCGTTTTGATTGTGTGCCTGTGCAAACATGTTAACGGCAGCAACACCCATGTTTAGAATTTCCTGGCATTTTATTCTGAGAAATATTGTGAAATCTAAAACCTGTTTTGCCACAATGCTGCAATGATTGGTCAGAACACAAGTGACCTAGTGAACTAAGTAAATACATTAAAAAATATATAAAAACCAATACTTCATAACCTGCCTTGCATTCAGCAAATAAAACACTATACAGGCCCCATAATGCAATGCTTTCCACACCATCTGTTAGAGCCACCTGGAGTTGCTGCTGAACCAAACATGATATAAGATAATAACATAACATAAAAACAGGTCGGACATGATTATGCAGGGAGACAAGGCAAGTGGCCATTCACTTCAGTAAAGCCTTTTTTTCCAGGAAGGCTCTTGTGAACATTTCATATATTCATGTAAATCCCCTATCAAATATCAAAACAACTTTGATGATTTTCAATTTTGTGTCAACAACATAAAACCAAAAGCTCACCAAAATGAATATTAACTCGGGCAGAATACTAGATACTACATCTCAAAGCTGATATAGGCCTACTCAATGTGAAAACTGTAATATTGTGAAGCCACTCAATGGAAAACAGAGTCCAGATGTTCTGGGATAGGTTTTATGTTTAACCTACATGTGAATTAAATGGTGCAGAAATGGGCAAAAAAAAAAGAATGTTAACCCCTAAATGACCAATTTCAAATGACACAATGGTGATAGTTAAAGCCCTTAAGGGGTTTGAACCTAAAATCTTTCAGTTACAAGCCCAGATCTTTAAACATTTTTAGTTACAATGATTTTTAACAAGAAGATTAAGAATTGATTGATGTATCAGAGCTAATAAGCTACTGGAATCCTCTTCTCATTTACTACATTGTCAAATATGTGATGCCACATCCAAAAGATATCCTCTAATTGATTCGGTTCCTTTCAAAAAACTGGTTCAAAAAATAAAATCACACATAGGTTAAACATAAAATCTATCCCAGAACATCTGGACTCTGTTTTCCATTGAGTGGCTTCCCTACATCACAGTTTCCCTCCTCACTGTAATAGTCAAAGCAAGCAACACATTGAGTGCATCAGCTTTGAGATGTTCTAGTATTCGGCCCGAGTTTATATTCATTTTGGTGTGCATTTGTTTTTATGTTGTTGACACAAAATTGAAGCATTATGAATAATATAATCAAATTAAAAAATGTATTTTCACTAAGATCTATGGTCCGCAAGCCGGTATAGTATTCTCTCATAACAAGCCATGGTAGTAGCAAACTTGTTCTGTCATATTTCTAATAACTAATTGCATTATATTATAATACAGTATATTAAAAATATTATTAACTGATAAACATAACATTTTGGTATATTGTATTAAACCATTCATTTTA